AGTAACGTTTCTGTGGCCCTAAGTAACGGTTCTGTGGCCCTCAGTAACAATTCTGTGCCCTCAGTAACAATTCTGTGTGTCCCTGAGAGTAACAATTCTGTGGCCCTAAGTAACATTTCTGTGGCCCTCAGTAACAATTCTGTGTCCCTGTCCCTGAGTAACAATTCTGTGGCCCTAAGTAACAATTCTGTGGCCCTCAGTAAATTCTGTGTCCCTGAGTAACATTTCTGTGGCCCTAAGTAACAATTCTGTGGCCCTCAGTAACAATTCTGTGCCCTCAGTAACAATTTCTGTGTCCCTGAGTAACGTTTCTGTGGCCCTAAGTAACAATTTCTGTGGCCCTCAGTAACAATTCTGTCCCTCAGTAACAATTCTGTGTCCCTGAGTAACAATTCTGTGGCCCTAAGTAACGGTTCTGTGGCCCTCAGTAACAATTCTGTGTCCCTGAGAGTAACGTTTCTGTGGCCCTAAGTAACGGTTCTGTGGCCCTCAGTAACAATTCTGTGTCCCTGAGTAACAATTCTGTGTCTGTCCCTGAGTAACAATTCTGTGGCCCTAAGTAACGGTTCTGTGGCCCTCAGTAACAATTCTGTGTCCCTGAGTAACGTTTCTGTGTGGCCCTAAGTAACGGTTCTGTGGCCCTCAGTAACAATTCTGTGTCCCTGAGTAACAATTCTGTGTGTCTGCCCTAAGTAACAATTCTGTGTGGCCCTAAGTAAAGTTCTGTGGCCCTCAGTAACAATTCTGTGTCCCTGAGTAACAATTCTGTGGCCCTAAGTAAAAGTTCTGTGGCCCTCAGTAACAATTCTGTGTCCCTCAGTAACAATTCTGTGGCCCTGAGTAACCCTGAGTAACGTTTCTGTGGCCCTGTAAGTAACAATTCTGTGCCCCCTCAGTAACAATTTCTGTGTCCCTGAGTAACAATTCTGTGTCTGTCCCTGAGTAACAATTCTGGCCCTAAGTAACAATTCTGTGGCCCTCAGTAACAATTCTGTGTGTCCCTGAGTAACAATTCTGTGGCCCTAAGTAACGGTTCTGTGGCCCTCAGTAACAATTCTGTGTCCCCTGAGTAAACAATTCTGTGGCCCTAAGTAACGTTTCTGTGGCCCTCAGTAACAATTCTGTGTCCCTGAGAGTAACAATTCTGTGTCTGTGCCTGAGTAACAATTCTGTGGCCCTAAGTAACGGTTCTGTGGCCCTCAGTAACAATTCTGTGTCCCTGAGTAACAATTCTGTGGCCCTAAGTAACGGTTCTGTGGCCCTCAGTAACAATTCTGTGTCTGTCCCTGAGTAACAAGTAACTGTGGCCCTAAGTAACAATTCTGTGGCCCTCAGTAACAATTTCTGTCCCTAAGTAACAATTCTGTGGCCCAGTAACAATTCTGTGCCCTCAGTAACAATTCTGTGTGTCCCTGAGTAACAATTCTGTGGCCCTAAGTAACAATTCTGTGGCCCTAAGTAACAATTCTGTGTCCCTGAGTAACAATTCTGTGGCCCTAAGTAACAATTCTGTGGCCCTAAGTAACAATTCTGTGGCCCTCAGTAACAATTCTGTGTGTCCCTGAGTAACAATTCTGTGGCCCTAAGTAACAATTCTGTGGCCCTCAGTAACAATTCTCTGTGGCCCTAAGTAACAATTCTGTGGCCCTGAGTAACAATTCTGTGGCCCTAAGTAACAATTTCTGTGCCCCTGAGTACAATTCTGTGGCCCAGTAAGTAAGCCCTCAGTAACGGTTCTGTGGCCCTCAGTAACAATTCTGTGTCCCTGAGTAACAATTCTGTGGCCCTAAGTAACGGTTCTGTGGCCCTCAGTAACAATTCTGTGTGTGTCCCTGAGTAACGTTTCTGTGGCCCTAAGTAACGGTTCTGTGGCCCTCAGTAACAATTCTGTGTCCCTCAGTAACAATTCTGTGTCTGTCCCTGAGTAACAATTCTGTGGCCCTAAGTAACGGTTCTGTGGCCCTCAGTAACAATTCTGTGTCCCTCAGTAAACTGTTCTGTGGCCCTAAGTAACAATTCTGTGGCCCTAAGTAACGGTTCTGTGGCCCTCAGTAACAATTCTGTGTCCCTGAGTAACAATTCTGTGGCCCTAAGTAACGGTTCTGTGGCCCTCAGTAACAATTCTGTGTCCCCCTCAGTAACAATTCTGTGTCTGTCCCTGAGTAACAATTCTGTGGCCCTAAGTAACGGTTCTGTGGCCCTCAGTAACAATTCTGTGCCCTGATTAACGTTTCGTTTCTGTGGCCCTAAGTAACGGTTCTGTGGCCCTCAGTAACAATTCTGTGTCCCTGAGTAACAATTCTGTGTCTGTCCCTAAGTAACAATTCTGTGGCCCTAAGTAAATTCTGTGGCCCTCAGTAACAATTCTGTGGCCCTAAGTAACCTGTGTCTGTGAGTAACAATTCTGTGGCCCTAAGTAACGGTTCTGTGGCCCTCAGTAACAATTCTGTGTCTGTCCCTGAGTAACAATTCTGTGGCCCTAAGTAACGTTTCTGTGGCCCTCAGTAACAATTCTGTGTCCCTGAGTAACGTTTCTGTGGCCCTAAGTAACGGTTCTGTGGCCCTCAGTAACAATTCTGTCTGTCCCTGAGTAACAATTCTGTGGCCCTAAGTAACAATTCTGTGGCCCTCAGTAACAATTCTGTGTGTGTCCCTGAGTAAAAATTCTGTGGCCCTAAGTAAAGTTTCTGTGGCCCTAAGTAACGGTTCTGTGGCCCTCAGTAACAATTCTGTGTCCCTGAGTAACGATTCTGTGGCCCTAAGTAACGGTTCTGTGGCCCTCAGTAACAATTCTGTGTCCCTGAGTAACAATTCTGTGTCTGTCCCTGAGTAACAATTCTGTGGCCCTAAGTAACAATTTTCTGTGGCCCTCAGTAACAATTCTGTGTCCCTGAGTAACGTTTCTGTGGCCCTAAGTAACAATTCTGTGGTGGCCCCTCAGTAACAATTCTGTGTCTGTCCCTGAGTAACAATTCTGTGGCCCTAAGTAACATTTTCTGTGGCCCTAAGTAACAGTTCTGTGGCCCTCAGTAACAATTCTGTGTCTGTCCCTGAGTAACAATTTCTGTGGCCCTAGTAAAAGTTTCTGTGGCCCTAAGTAACAATTCTGTGGCCCCTAAGTAACAATTCTGTGGCCCTCAGTAATTCTGTCTGTCCCTGAGTAACAATTCTGTGGCCCCTAGTAACGTTTCTGTGGCCCTAAGTAACAGTTCTGTGGCCCTCAGTAACAATTCTGTGTCTGTCCCTGAGTAACAATTCTGTGGCCCTAACTAAACGTTTTCTGTGGCCCTAAGTAACAGTTCTGTGGCCCTCAGTAACAATTCTGTGTCTGTCCCTGAGTAACAATTCTGTGGCCCTAACTAAACTTTCTGTGGCCCTAAGTTTCTTCTGGCCCTAAGTAACAATTCTGTGGCCCTCAGTAACAATTCTGTCTGTCCCTGAGTAACAATTCTGTGGCCCTAAGTAACGTTTCTGTGGCCCTAAGTAACAGTTCTGTGGCCCTCAGTAACAATTCTGTGTCTGTCCCTGAGTAACAATTCTGTGGCCCTAACTAAAGTTTCTGTGGCCCTAAGTAACAATTCTCTGTCTGGCCCTCAGTAACAATTCTGTGTCTGTCCCTGAGTAACAATTCTGTGGCCCTAATAACGTTTCTGTGGCCCTAAGTAACAGTTCTGTGGCCCTCAGTAACAATTCTGTGTCTGTCCCTGAGTAACAATTCTGTGGCCCTAACTAACGTTTCTGTGGCCCTAAGTAACAGTTCTGTGGCCCTCAGTAACAATTCTGTGTCTGTCCCTGAGTAACAATTCTGTGGCCCTAACTAAAGTTTCTGTGGCCCTAAGTAACAATTCTGTGGCCCTCAGTAACAATTCTGTCTGTCCCTGAGTAACAATTCTGTGGCCCTAATAACGTTTCTGTGGCCCTAAGTAACAATTCTCTGGCACTCAGTAACAATTCTGTCTGTCCCTGAGTAACAATTCTGTGGCCCTAACTAGCGTTTCTTTGGCCCTAAGTAACGATTCTGTGGCCCTCATTAACAATTCTGTGTCCCTGAGTAATGGTTCTCTGTCCCTAAGTAACGTTTCTCTGTCCCCAAGTAACGTTTCTGTGGCCCTAACTCTGTCCCTAATACAGAGCGGTCTGCCTCTGTTGAATGACTGGAGGCAAATGAAGAATTCTAAAATGGCCGCTATTTATAGCTCGACCATTACACAGTGTGCTGGCTGGCTGGCTGCTGATTGGCTAATGCGATCACATGTCATTAAGGAATGCATTATGGGCTGCACTATATACTCTATGTTGTACATTACATACTCCTGACCTCTGCACTATATATACTCTTATGTTGTACATTACATACTCCTAACTTCTGCTCTCCCCCCCCTCCCCCCACTGCTATATATACACATAATATGTCTTCTCCTCTGTTCCCCCCATTTCCTCCAGCTGGACATTTTATATCGGATGATGTGATTGGAGCACAGACTTTTACATGGTGATAATAATGTGATAACATCCTCCAACTTTGGACCCTTAAACAGAAAGTGATAATGAGGGAGGAGTCAATACCCCAATGATGGTGGTCTTCAGGATCAGTCCAGTCTTCATCTTGGTTGTTCTCCCCCCATCCTCACTCTCTGACCTCTGGTGGGGCTCAGCCCCGCTGTTCTTCATGACTAAATCATGGACTAAATAAGGAAGTGCAGTACTTCTTGTGTTGGGAAGATGGCGATGAGTGATAGAGGGGGTGGGGACCCTCGTCCTATAATCCCCTCATCACTGTCCCTCCTATAAAAGACAGTTCTGGTTGTTTCCTCACTCTCTGACTAAGGTCCATGAATAAAGAAATGACCTGGTAGGAGATCAGAGGAGCCATTTCCTAGTTCCCTTGAGGGTGGAATTGTAAGCTCCTCAGAGACCAAGCTGCCTGATGTGGGCGGAGTCCTGGTTTGGGGGAACCAATCAGCTCCTGTCTAGTAATCCTCTTTGTCTTTGTATTTTAGTCCATGGCCGGGAGATGAGGAAAACCTCCGAGGATTGTCTCACTTTGTCTCCAGACTGGAAAGTAGAAGATGAGGACATCACACAGTATAGTCCAGGAGAAAACCCGGCTCCCTCCAATGTCCATCCGGCACCACCCAGTGTAGATGGACCATCGGATTCCTCGTATCCTGAGGAACCTCAGACTGTGCGGGACCGGGCCGGCCTTCCAACAGAGAAGAGCTTCTCCTGTACTGAGTGCGGGAAGGGTTTCCGTTCTACATACAATCTTAATGTGCATAAAAGATCTGGGGGGGAGAAGCCGTATTCCTGTCCTGAGTGCGGGAAATGTTTTTTTCAAAGAAGTCCAATCTTCACATACATCAGAGATCTCACACAGGGGAGAAGCCGTATTCCTGTCCTGAGTGTGGAAATGTTTTTCACAAGTAAGTCCATCTTTACACACACAACATCAGAGATCTCACACAGGGGGAGAAGCCGTATTCCTGTCCTGAGTGCGGGAAATGTTTTTCAGAGAAGTCTTTACACACATTATCTACACACATCAGAGATCTCACATCAGAGATCTCACACACGGGGGAGAAGCCGTATTCCTGTTCTGAGTGTGGGAAATGTTTTTCACTGAAGTACAATCTTTACAGACATCAGAGATCTCACACGGGGGAGAAGCCATATTCCTGTCCCGAGTGCGGGAAATGTTTTTCACTGAAGTCCTATCTTTACACACATCAGAGATCTCACACGGGGGAGAAGCCGTATTCCTGTCCTGAGTGCGGGAAATGTTTTTCACTGAAGACCCATCTTTACACACATCAGAGATCTCACACAGGGGAGAAGCCGTATTCCTGTCCTGAGTGCGGGAAATGTTTTTTCAGTGAAGTCCAGTCTTTACACACATCAGAGATCTCACACGGGGGGAGAAGCCGTATTCCTGTCCTGAGTGTGGGAAATGTTTTTTCAGTGAAGTCCAATCTTTACACACATCAGAGATCTCACACGGGGGAGAAGCCGTATTCCTGTCCTGAGTGTGGGAAATGTTTTTCACAGAAGTCCAGTCTTTACACACATCAGAGTCTCACACACGGGGGAGAAGCCGTATTCCTGTCCTGAGTGCGGGAAATGTTTTTCAAGAAGTCCATCTTTACCACACATCAGAGATCTCACACGGGGAGAAAGCCATATTCCTGTTCTGAGTGCGGGAAATGTTTTTCAGTGAAGTCCAGTCTTTACACACATCAGAGATCTCACACGGGGGAGAAGCCATATTCCTGTCCTGAGTGTGCGGGAAATGTTTTTTCAGAAGTCCAGTCTTTACACACATCAGAGATCTCACACGGGGGGAGAAGCCATATTCCTGTCCTGAGTGTGGGAAATGTTTTTTCAGGAAGTCCAGTCTTTACACACATCAGAGATCTCACACAGGGGAGAAGCCGTATTCCTGTCCTGAGTGCGGGAAATGTTTTTCAGACGAAGTCCCATCTATACACACATCAGAGATCTCACACGGGGGGAGAAAGCATATTCCTGTCCTGAGTGCGGGAAATGTTTTTCATGGAAGTCCAGTCTTTCACACACATCAGAGATCTCACACGGGGAAGAAGCCACTTTCCTGTCCTGAGTGAGGGAAATGTTCCTCACTGAAGTCCTGTCTTCCTGTACATCAGGGGTCCCACACAACCCTGGAGGTGTATTAGTGCCTTGAGTGCGGGAAATGTCTTCTAGATGAATGTTGCTGGACATCCCAGCTCTCATGTGGGGAAGAAGCACACCCTGATATACACCTCAGATATACTCCATGGCTGATCTTCATCATGGAAAACAGTTGATAAGGAGATGAGAGGCCCCCAAAGACATGGATGAAGTGCAGTAAATGTCGGGGTGCAGAGTGGTCAGTAGATCCTGGAAATGAAGGACACAACTTCAGCCCTTCTTGGGTGTCGGAGTTGCGTTTCCTGATAATGATATAGCGGGTTACAGAGCTAGAAGCCGGGAGAGCCCAGATCTCGTTATCGGGGAACTTTACACAGACAACAAGAACTTCTGAAGTTGATGTCCTTCATTTCAAGGCTCTACAGAACAGTGGTGACCCCGAAGCGTCTCTCTGTCTTCAGTCCATCCTTCTCCCATCCCCCAACAGGAGGGAAGGAGAACTCCGCCCCAAACTAGGGGGGAACTTTCCTCTCATTATTTCCCTTGGCTTCTGTGTGGGTTTGGGTGGTTGGAGGAGTGCGGCACGAGAGGGAACACAGCTTGTTGTTCTATGTCTACATATGGGGTCTGGGTAGAGGGGATCCACCGGAAAATATTTCTACTCTTTGATTTTGTGCAAATCGTTTCTGTTTTCACTTTGAAGGGCGATATTATGTGTGGTTTGTAAAAGGGATTGGCCCAATAGATACCACCCCACTTAGAGAATAGATGAACTAATATGACCAGCATTCATTCAGCCATGTCACATGTTGGGATCTTTTCTACAATACTTTGTTATAATAATGGAACACGTTGTGTATTGTATTGTACACCAATAATAATGACTCCGCCCCCACATTCCAGACAAGGGATCTTCCTGACCAATCAGATTCCTTCTTTTACCGTTTACTGATTTTTTTTCTGCAATCTTGTTAAAAGTGAAATTATAATAAAAAATGTATTGAATGAAAAACAAAATGGTGTGTGTGTGCAATGATGACAAAGCTGTGTATCCAGAAACGGCTGGTCGGTGACACTTCCATATACAGCCCAATGAAGTGACAAGGAAGCCCTAGAACCCTTTGGAGGAACCCTGGCTGAGAAAGGCTGGACTAGGCAGTCACATATCTCTGCCCCCCTTGCAGGGTTCCCAACCCTCCGTGACTTTTATTACTGACACAACATGAACATTTACTGACGGAGGACATGTTTTTCCTGACATCCTGAAAAATGACAGAACTCCTGTTAGGATGTCAGACGATGGATATTGAATCCATATAACAGGACATGTGATCACTGACAATCCCCAGAACAAGCCATCTGCCTGGTTTACACCTAATAATTCAATCCATGGTGACCACAAATCAGCCCAACGCAGACACATGAAAACCAAGTTCTGCTCGGCATGCCATGGAGAGTAATGGGCACGGTCAGATGGGAGGGGCTTAGAAGAGGATGATGTCACAGACCCGCCCCCTGATCACCTACCTCTAAATGAAGAAAGCAGCTGATTGGGTGAGTACACATTGCTGTGACCTCCATGCTTAGCTTCACAGTGCGGCAATTTTACCTTCACATGCCGAGTCTCACAGGTGGCACCGCCTGTCATACCATTGTGCTGAAATGTCATTGCAGCAACTCAGAATGGTCCTCAGTAGTCTGTATGGCCCCCATGTGCTTGTATTCATGCCTGACAACGTCGGGGGAGGGTCCTAATAAGATATCACCAGCAAGACTCCCATCATCCATCCACTACACATCTGCATCAGAGGCTGGTCAGGAGCTCTGAGGAAAGGGATTCATCCCCGAAACGCGTCAGCCATTTGACCGCACTGACACTTGGAACACCTTGCTTGCCGTTGTGGCCATCGTCATTATGCAAATGATTTTTAGATACATGCTTCACCTGTGAGTCTGGTTTTATTTTTCACTCCTTTCAATAAACCTTGGATAATGCACAAGGTGTGTGCGCACCTGTTTATTCTCTATCTAGTCAACGACAACAACCTCCTCGATCCCCTACAGTCCGGCTTAATTCCCCTACACTCCACCGAAACTGCCTTACTCAAACTCTCCAACGACCTGCTAACCACCAAAGCTAATGGCCACTATTCAGTGCTCCTACTCCTTGACCTCTCTGCGGCCTTCGACACAGTCGACCCACCCCCTCCTCCTCAAAAATCTACACTCCCTCGGCCTCAGAGATTCTGCTCTCTCCTGTCTCTCATCCTACCTGTCACAACGCTCCTTCAGCGTTACCTATAATGCTACCACCTCCCCCTCACTCCCCCTCTCTGTTGGGGTCCCTCAAGGCTCTGTCCTCGGGCCCCTTCTCTTCTCCATCTATACCTCCTCCCTTGGCCAACTCATACACTCTCACGGCTTCAACTACCACCTCTATGCCGACGACACACAAATCTATCTCTCAACCCCCCACCTCACCCCCTTGGTCTCAGCCCGAATCACACACCTACTGAGCGACATATCAGACTGGATGTCGCTCCACTTCCTTAAATTGAACCTCTCCAAAACCGAGTTTCTTGTCTTCCCCCCAGCCCGGACACCACCCCCCATTGATTTCTCCGTCACATCCAACAACGCTACCATCAAACCCGCCCCGCAGGCCAGAGTACTGGGTGTCATTCTGGACTCCAACCTATCCTTCAGCCCCAAGTCCAATCTTTAACAAACTCGTGCAGACTCCACCTCCGCAACATGCAGACTCCGCCTCCGCAACATGCAGACTCCACCTCCGCAACATCGCCAAAATCCGCACGTTCCTAACCCCAGAAACCACTAAACAGCTCATCCACTCCCTCATCATATCACGACTCGACTACTGCAACTCCCTCCTCACTGGCCTGCCTCGCCGCTGGCTATCCCCGCTTCAGTCCATCCTGAATACGGCTGCCAGACTCATTCACCTTTCCAACCGCTCTGTGTCCGCCACCCCCCTCTGCCAATCCCTCCACTGGCTTCCGATTGCGCAACGGATCAAATTCAAAATCCTAACACTGACGTACAAAGCCGTCCACCATACTGCCCCGAACTACATCACTGACCTAATATCCAAGTACCACCCAACACGCACACTCCGCCTCACAAGACCTCCTTCTCTCTAGTTCCCTGGTCTCCTCCTCCCATGCCCGCCTCCAGGACTTCTCCAGGGTGTCACCCATCCTCTGGAACTCCCTGCCCCAACCCATCAGATTATCACCTACTCTCCTCTCCTTTAGGCACACCCTGAAAACCCATCTCTTCAGGGAAGCCTACCCCACCCCCTGCTAACTTGCCGACCTCCTCCACTCTTCCTGCCACTCCATCCCCCACAGGTATCTCCTCCTGTGCCACCACCCCCCCTCCCTCCTAGATTGTAAGCTCGAAAGAGCAGGGCCCTCAATCCCCTCATGTTTTGCATTGTATTGGTATTGTTCTGTCACATGTTCTGTCCCCCTCTGTAATGTACAGCGCTGAGCGAACTATTGGCGCTTTATAAATACTGTATAATAATAATAATAATAATAATAGTGGCTGATCTCCCCGTCTGAGGAGGGCTGCACCCCTGAAGCATTTCCTTTGGTTGTCGCTGTCCTGGTTCCCTTGGCTTCCCTTTTAGCTGTGCATATCCTGAGGCGCTGGAGAGTACATACGATATCTGGTTTGGTTGCAACCTGGTGGCGTCGGATGGACCAAAACATGATATCCTAGAGGTGTTCTGTTGGATTTAGGTCAGGTAAGTGAAAGGATTGATTTTCTTATCCCCTCAGAGACCCCCGGTCTGTGGAGAGATTCCTGGTTTATCAGCAGAATTCTGGGAACACCCCTTGAACACGGAAATAACGGCAGCTTATGTTCAGAGATGTTCAAAGTTTATTAGACATTACTAAGATTATATAGGATACAGAAATAATAAGGGAGGGGGGGGGAGCGAGTTCTAAAACTGTAACTTGTAAGTTTCCATCATGAGCTGACTACATGAAACATGACATATACATTTCTTGGTATAAACTGTTTTTGCTAGCTTTCTGAGAAATAGCCGAGCAAAGAAAACTTCAGGGTCATGTTATCTTTTGTTGGTACATCCTTCAGCAAACTAAAACAGTTCCATTAAACTTCTAATA